CATTTTTGTACTTGAGAGTATCCTTGAATCCTCTCAGCCTTCTGCTCATGTTAATAATGGAAATGTGAAAGCAAAATTTTAAATAACTTTAAAATTTTAATCTTAGCTGCATTGCCTCTGAAGGGTTTTGTATGTGCCTACCTCTTGAATAGAACATGAAGGGAATTTTTGTTTCTAAAAAATTTGTATGATGAGCTACCTATTTCATTTGTTTAGAGAGGTATGTATACCATACCTGTCTACAGTATCCATGGAAGCTTGTGATTTCTGGCTCTGAGATCTCCTCTTCATCTTAAAAAAAGTGCACTAGACTGCTCACTAGCACTTGCTAGTCTGATTTTTCTGGCTATTGATTTTTCTGTTAAGTGATGTGTGCATTGCATTAAACAGGAGAGCACATCATGAAGTCTGGGCAAATGGATGTATTAATGTTCTTCTATCTCCACCTCGTAGGCACTGGCTCTTTTTAAAAATGAGACTGAATGAGTCTCCAGCTAAGACTTTGTCAGATTATGATCAATGCCTCAAGTGACAATATATGAATTATATTGGGTCATAACTGAAGATGACTCCTTGGTGTTATGTGACTATAAAAATATAACAAATACAATTCATAAACTTATTTGATGTCTTTTATTTTGAGAAATGTGTTCTCATAATGCTCCAAAGAGATAGGTAACAAAATACCCTGTATGCAACAAATGAAAAAACAGAATTCGAATTCTTGGCTGTCTCACCAAGCTTACCCTGGTTAGATTGTGTTTTCTGTATAGTATGTTTTGAGATTCCTTAAATCAAAACATTCTTTCTTCTATTATGCTTAAATGACCTTTAGAAAAGATTTCTCTTCCTTGGGATTATGCCTCTTGGTTCCTCAGAGCACTGCTAGAGCCAGATGGCTCAATGTATGGTTGTTTGCCAAGCGTGGTCATTGGCTCATTGGTTCAGTATTTATTTAAGAAATAGAAAGTATATACAATGTGTCAGGCACTTTGTTACAACTCTATCTGGTTTGTTTGTTTGTTTTAATCATTTCAGGAATGGTGAATATTTTAATCTCTCAAGATGGTGTTAAATTGGGATCATGTGTTTTCAAAAAAAGAAGCACCTGGCTCATTGTATTGTTCCACTCTGAGGCAACCTTGGGGGCCAAGATCCCCATCCTTAAACCTGTAAGGATCACAGTTCTTGTGAAGCTGCCTCATGTTTTGTGACAGTCCATAACTACTGCTCACTGCCTGCCTATCCTAATCTCTACATGATGAGGAACTCTTCTAGGAGCCTCTTGTCCCTGTTGAAGCACTTTCAAATGTCACCACTTTCTCCCACCTCTCACCCTTTGTACCAGATCCATACTCACCTAAAACCATGTGAACCACCTACATGAGAGTTATAAATTGTGTTTAATGTGGTAATGTTGTGGGCTTAGCCTGTGATCAACAGCCACTTCCCCTCTCTTAAAGCTATTAAAACTNCATCAAGGCTTCCGAATTGCTTCTAACAGTAGTGGCTTATGTTGTGTATCCTGTCACAGAGAGACACTTACCTCAGGTCTCCTAGTAGGTCAGTGGCAGGAGTATAAACAGAACATTGCTATATTAATATAAGACCACAAAGCTTTAAAGGTTACATTTTGCTTTTCCTTTGTCTCTCCCTCTTTCTTTTTAAAGGAGTGGTGAATGTGTTGCTGACAACTCCACTCTGGGTGGTAAACACCAGACTGAAGCTGCAGGGGGCAAAATTTAGGAATGAAGACATTGTACCAACCAACTACAAAGGAATTATTGGTAAGTGTCTCCTGCGTGAATTCCTATATAAGGGGTTTCTTTTCTGGAGTTTATTACCATGGTACTGCCACATCTCAGACAACCTCAGATCTCAATGCCTAACAGTAAGAATCTGCTCAGCTGACGTGTCTATGGGTTGACAAGGATTTGACTCATCTAGGCTGAGCCAGTCTGGGAGTCTTGGCTCCACATGTCTCTCATCCTTTTCCTGGGACCAACCTGAGCTTATTCTTCTCTTGGTCGTGGCAGAAGCACAGGTGGACATGCCCCATTGTACAGCATATTTCAAGCCCCTGTTTGCATCTTGTCTGCTAACATCCTCTTAGCTAAAGTACATCCCATGGCCTAGCCCAAGGACAAGGGCTAGAGAAATGTACTGTTCCCATGGAGTGTAGGTGGGAAGGGGTGAATATTTCTAAAGAACAGTCTATGTTTTTTTCCTAGGGTTATCTTTGGACAAAGATACTAGGTAGCACCTGATATTTTTGAGCTTACTAGTACTACATTGCCAGATTCCCTTTTCTCATGTTTCCATCTTTGTAATGAGAAAAATTGTTTTATTAGAAGTTGAATCCTATTTATTGGACTCTAGGGAAGTATCTTATCTTTTGTTGTACTGGACTTTGTCGTGAAACACAAAAGTACCAGTTCACAGTTCTCTGTGACACAGAGTTCCCGGGAGTGGAAGTCATCACTTAGGAAAACTTAACATTCTAACCCCGGATTGTCAGGAAGAATTGCCAGTGATTGAAGGTGGTTTCTCAATAACTTGGTGACTGCCAGTGTCTGATGATTATCGGAAAGTAGTTAACTGATGAATTTGTCCCGAAAATATCACTGCAAGAAGGAAACCTGGATAGAACCAACTGTGGTTTGTGTTCTGGGTACATCTGAACAGAATTCATGTTGTCTTCTCTAGTTAGGGGATTGTCATCAAAAGTCCTTGATTTCTTTCTTAGATGCTTTTCACCAGATCATTCGAGATGAAGGAATCTTGGCTTTATGGAATGGCACGTTTCCTTCCTTGCTGTTGGTCTTCAATCCTGCCATCCAGTTCATGTTCTATGAAGGTTTAAAACGGCAGCTTTTAAAGAAACGAATGAAGGTAACTCCTGATTTTGAAAGCAGCAAATAAAAATCTCTGACACTTTCTTGTTTGGATTGATATAGTTGGTTCTTTCTTTTCTTGCCAGCTTTCTTCTGTGGATGTGTTCATCATTGGTGCAGTAGCCAAGGCAATTGCTACCACAGTCACCTATCCCATGCAGACAGTACAGTCAATTCTGAGGGTGAGTCCTGGGGTTCTCCCTGCATGTGGTCAAACAGCTTTCTAAAATACATGGTTCCTCGGTTTAAGGCAATGTTAATATAGCAATAAACATTCACTATCTATTTTTCCATTTGTTTGATATTTTCCTAACCAGGCTGGCTCTCAGTTGGGTTCCCATTTGATTTGGAATAAAGTTTAGATTTGCAATTTCCTAGGTAATGTAGAGTCTCAGAAAACCCAAAAATGAAGGAAGATTCTTTAAGGACTTTAGAAATGTGTAAGTTCGCTTCCTTCTCATTCTAGTTGATTTGCTTAGGTATTATTCTTTGCAAAAGCAGAGGTTGATTCCTTTAGTTCATTCAGAAGGTATTAATGTTTAGTTTTTCTGAAGCACTTTCAAATTTCTGCTTTTTTCATTCGGCTATTCACTCATTGAAATCTTCATTAAGCACACCCAGCCATGTGAGGAGCAGTCTAGGGGGAGGGAGTATGGTGTGCCAAGAGCTTGGTGACTCCTAGGAACAGATTGGAGGCCACTATGGTGGGAGGGTGCCTAGGAATGTGATTAGAAATGCAGCAAGGTAGGCTGTAGGTGAGGATTCTAGATTTTACTCTTACTGCAGTGGAAAGCCTTTGAGAGGATTTAAACTAAGGTGTGATTTTGCAATTTGAGATTACTGTGGCAAATTGGTCTGAAGGCTCAGAGAAACGAAGAGGGGCAACCAGGTAGGAGACCAATACAAGTGAGAAGTGATGGTAGCCTAGACTAAGGCAGTAACAGTAGAGAGAAGATGCAGAGAAAACATTCAGAGGACTTACTGATGGACAGAATGGGGATGATAGTTACTTCAGTTAAAAAAATTACCTTGTGCTAAAAGGATTTTTACTAATATACGGATTTAAAATTGGTATTTAATATAAAGGAATTCAATAGTATCCAGTTAAATGTATTTGACACTTATATTGTAAACATATAATGTGAAGAATGTAGACTGCAGTGGTCCTAATTGGTTAGTGTTTATTAGAACTTCTTAAAGAACTGGAAGTTAAGCCAGGCCATCGGTATCTAAATCTCCATTGTGGGCATGTTTACTTTCTTTTGAGATAGAATTTTCCCCAGAGGTCCTTGTAAAATGGAAATTCTCATGCTTGTTTCATTGAAAAAATACTCCTTATGAATGAAATATTATTATTATTAATGAAATCTCCATACTAATGTGGTATTTTTATTACCACATGCTGTAAGACATTGCTCCAAGATAATTTCTGCAGGAGAAATCAAGATAAAGCAGTAATAAATAGTAATTATTTTTATTTTCTTCTTCCCTAGTTTGGACGTCACAGACTAAATCCAGAAAACAGAACACTGGGGAGTCTTCGGAATGTTCTCTATCTTCTTCACCAACGAATAAAGTGAGCTTTATGCAGGCTTCACATTCTGTCCTCTTGCAACAGCCGTCTTTTCCAGGGAGGACTGGATTTGCTGCATTTGTGCTACTGCCTTGGCAGTAGCAGCCTACCAACCTCTCCCTTGTGTTCTATGCTCACCTTGCATTTTAGGGGCTTAGTGCGTATGACAACATGTGGGGACATTATGGAAAAGCTCAAGCCCTTATTCTTTGTTACTCAACAAACATGCAGAACTTTCGAAAGG